TGGGGGTTCAAACCTTTGTACCTAGTTCAGCTATCAGAACTTTAGGGGCCCAGTCCTGGACCCATTATGTACCTCTGTAATCTGTAAATACCTTTGTAACTTGTCATGATTGTGACCAGACCTACCTGGAGTTCATTACCTTTGTAAATTGTGAGTTCATTACCTCTGTAACTTGCTCAGCTATCAAAACTTTGGAGTCCAGTCCCTGGACCAATTATGTACCTCTGTAATCTTTTGACTACCGCCCACAGGATGGGTCTGGGGTAACTCCCGCCCACAGGATGGGTCTGGGGTAACTCCCGCCCACAGGATGGGTCTGGGGTGCATAATAAACATATTCAAGTAACTATGTATTAAGTTAGAATGAACTTAAGAATAACTAGGTATAAACTAATAAGATAAAATTCCAACTTAAAAATAGCACCAGACTAACAATTGTAATTGCATGATGTAACATGATGTAACATGATGTAATATGATGTTTACATCAACTAAATTATAACTAGATATAAACTGATAAGATAAAATTATAAATTAAAGAAGCAAAAGTATAATAAAAAATAAAAAATGGCAATGATATGGTAGTAATATGGTAGTAAGATGGTAGTAAGATGGTAGTAAGATGGTAGACAAGATAATAAAAACGTTCGAATTGAATATACAAACTTGAATATTTGGCAACAATATGTTAATTATTATTATTATAATCAAGGGGGAAGCGCTAAACCCGGAGGATTATACAGCGCCTGGGGGGGGGATGTGGAAGGCATTCAGGCTTAATTCGGGGAACTGGAGCACAGATCCAATTCCCTAAATCAAGAGCCCCTCACCAACATCAAGGAACCTTCCTTGAGGGGAACAATATGTTAAGAAAAGTATAAAATAAAATTGGGTAATAAAGTCTAAAATAAAATTGGGCAATAAAGTCTAAAATAAAATAGGGCAGTAATAGTTAAATAGGACAATGCTGTGTTAAGTTACAATTAAAATAAAATAGAGCAGTGACTTGGTAAGTTGCAAATATTTAATAAAGTAATTTACACATATGTTACTATGTATGATAATTGTACTTATGTGGAATTATTCCTAAAAAACTTGTGATGAATGGTTTGAAAAACCGACAAATTGAAGATTGAGACACTTATGCAACATATGGGAATCTTTATTCAGGAAACGTTTCGCCACACAGTGGCTTCATCAGTCCAATACTAAGTACAAAGGCGTAAGGAGAGGAGAAGTTTGAGGTAATCAGTCCCTCAGCCTGGAGTCGATGTGTTCAGTCCATTAATCTTGCAGAATGTACAGCATAGGGCCGTAGACGTGGCTTATATACTGTAGTGAGGTGAGGTGAAGCAGGTGGAGGCGGGGTCATAGTGGTACCATCCACTAGTCGAAGTAGGTCTTCGTCCAAAGGTTGAACAAGTGTTGAAGAATTCTTTGTAACAAGATCCAAAAATGCTGCAGTGTCTGACAGTTGTGATGAATGGTTTGAAAAAACGACAAGTTGCGGCCCTATGCTGTACATTCTACAAGATTGATGGACTGAACACATCGACTCCCGGCTGATTACCTCAAACTTCTCTTCTCCTTACGCCTTTCTACTTTGTATTGGACTGATGAAGCCACTGTGTGGCGAAACGTTTCCTGAATAAGATTCCCATATGTTGCATAAGTGTCTCAATCCTAAAAAACTTACTCACCCCTTGTTGGGGTGTTTGGAGAGAGGGATGGTAGTACTTGAGAGGGGGGTGGTACTTGAGAGGGGGGTTTGTACTTGAGATGGATGGTGGTACTTGAGAGGGAGGAGGGAGGTACTAGGGGGAAGGAATAATTCTTGGGGACGTAGGAGGGAGGGAAGGAGGCAAGTGAAACTGAGGAAGGGTTGCCTGGGCTTAATTGTGGGATGGGAGCTGGGTGGGGGTGGTACGTGGGAGTTCCTGTAGGGACGGGAGGAGGGGTGGTGGATGGTGAGGAGTGGGTTGGGGTGGGCAGAAGGAAGGGCGTGTAAAGGAAGCAGACCACTGTCAGCGCCACCTCTGTTCAAGCCACAACTTCGCCATGTACGGTATTAATAAGTTGGTGATTTTTGGTGCGTCAGGCAACACTGGTGTGTGTTGCGTGCAGTCCGCTCTCAACATGGGTGAGTACTAACACAGATGTGTGTTGCATGCAGGTCACCCTCCACCTAGCCTATTTATGCACTGCTTCCACTAAAGGACTTGAGGAACACCACAGAGGCCAGGAGAGGGGCAGTCATGTAGATCTGATAATAGTTTCGTAATCTATTGATCAGGGAGACTCGCTTAACGCAGTTCTGCCATAAGATGAACCTTAGGTGGGTGTTCTTGTTATGTTGGAGGCGACACACATCACTGCCGTGCACTGCTGAATATAATGTGAATATCGGGGTAGCTGTTGGCCCTATGGCGGCCCATGACAACACCCAGTGGCATTACAGCTGCTGACATTATAACATTACAACTGCTGATATTATAACATTACAACTGCTGATATTATAACACTACAACTGCTGATATTATAACATTACAACTGCTGATATTATAACATTACAACTGCTGATATTATAACATTACAACTGCTGATATTATAACATTACAACTGCTGATATTATAACATTACAACTGCTGATATTATAACATTACAACTGCTGATATTATAACATTACAACTGCTGATATTATAACATTACAACTGCTGATATTATAACATTACAACTGCTGATATTATAACATTACAACTGCTGATATTATAACATTACAGCTGCTGATATTATAACATTACAGTTAAGTAACGGATATCACAAGAAGAGTGTATTATTACTTCTGTGAGTGTGAAGTGTAATGTGTACGTAATGTGAAGTGTAATGTGTACATAATGTGAAGTGTAATGTGTACGTAATGTGAAGTGTAATGTGTACATAATGTGAAGTGTAATGTGTACATAGTGTGAAGTGTAATGTGTACATAGTGTGAAGTGTAATGTGTACGTAGTGTGAAGTGTAATGTGTACATAGTGTGAAGTGTAATGTGTACATAGTGTGAAGTGTAATGTGTACATAGTGTGAAGTGTAATGTGTACATAGTGTGAAGTGTAATGTGTATATAGTGTGAAGTGTAATGTGTACATAGTGTGAAGTGTAATGTGTACGTAGTGTGAAGTGTAATGTGTACATAGTGTGAAGTGTAATGTGTACATAGTGTGAAGTGTAATGTGTACGTAGTGTGAAGTGTAATGTGTACATAGTGTGAAGTGTAATGTGTACGTAATGTGAAGTGTAATGTATACATAGTGTGAAGTGTAATGTGTACATAGTGTGAAGTGTAATGTGTACATAGTGTGAAGTGTAATGTGTACGTAGTATGAAGTGTAATGTGTACATAGTGTGAAGTGTAATGTGTACGTAATGTGAAGTGTAATGTGTACGTAGTGTGAAGTGTAATGTGTACATAGTGTGAAGTGTAATGTGTACGTAGTGTGAAGTGTAATGTGTACATAGTGTGAGGTGTAATGTGTACGTAGTGTGAAGTGTAATGTGTACATAGTGTGAAGTGTAATGTGTACGTAATGTGAAGTGTAATGTGTACATAGTGTGAAGTGTAATGTGTACATAGTGTGAGGTGTAACGTACGTAGTGTGAAGTGTAATGTACGTAGTGTGAAGTGTAATGTACGTAGTGTGAAGTGTTATGTACGTAGTGTGAAGTGTAATGTACGTAGTGTAAAGTGTAATGTACGTAGTGTGAAGTGTACTGTGTACGTGGTGTGAAGTGTAATGTTTCTTGAGTAGCTTTAGGTAGATGTCGTTTTGATAAGGACCTGCCTCGTATGGGCCAGTAGGCCTTCTGCAGTGTTCCTACATTCTTATGTTCTTATGTACATAGTGTGAGGTGTAATGTGTACGTAGTGTGAAGTGTAATGTACGTAATGTGAAGTGTAATGTACGTAGTGTGAAGTGTAATGTACGTAGTGTGAAGTGTAATGTGTACGTAATGTGAAGTGTAATGTACGTAGTGTGAAGTGTAACGTACGTAGTGTCAAGTGTAACGTACGTAGGGTGAAGTGTAATGTACGTAGTGTGAAGTGTAATGTACGTAGTGTGAAGTGTAATGTACGTAGTGTAAAGTGTAATGTACGTAGTGTGAAGTGTAACGTACGTAGCGTCAAGTGTAACGTACGTAGTGTGAAGTACGTACTGTGAAGTGTAATGTACGTAGTGTCAAGTGTAATGTACGTAGTGTCAAGTGTAATGTACGTAGTGTCAAGTGTAAAGTACGTAGTGTCAAGTGTAACGTACGTAGTGTCAAGTGTAATGTACGTAGTGTGAAGTGTAATGTACGTAGTGTGAAGTGTAACGTACGTAGTGTGAAGTGTAACGTACGTAGTGTGAAGTGTAGCATACGTAGTGTGAAGTGTAATGTACGTAGTGTGAAGTGTAACGTACGTAGTGTGAAGTGTAACGTACGTAGTGTGAAGTGTAGCATACGTAGTGTGAAGTGTAATGTACGTAGTGTGAAGTGTAATGTACGTAGTGTGAAGTGTAACGTACGTAGTGTCAAGTGTAATGTACGTACTGTGAAGTGTAATGTACGTAGTGTCAAGTGTAACGTATGTAGTGTGAAGTGTAACGTACGTAGTGTGAAGTGTAATGTACGTACTGTGAAGTGTAATGTACGTGCTGTGAAGTGTAATGTACGTAGTGTTAAGTGTAACGTACATAGTGTGAAGTGTAATGTACGTAGTGTGAAGTGTAATGTACGTAGTGTCAAGTGTTATGTACGTAGAGTCAAGTGTTATGTGCGTAGTGTCAAGTGTTATGTGCGTGGTGTCAAGTGTAATGTACGTAGTGTCAAGTGTTATGTGCGTAGTTGTCAAGTGTTATGTGCTTTAGTGTCAAGTGTTATGTGCGTAGTGTCAAGTTTTTATGGGGCGTAGTGTCAAGTGTTATGTGCGTAGTGTCAAGTGTTATGTGCGTAGTGTCAAGTGTTATGTGCGTGTGTCAAGTGTTATGTTGCGAAAGTGTCAAGTGTTATGTGCGTAGTGTCAAGTGTTATTCCGTAGTGTCAAGTGTTATGTGCGTAGTGCCAGTGTTTATGTACGTAGTGTCAAGTGTAATGTACGTAGTGTCAAGTGTTATGTGCGTAGTGTCAAGTGTTATGTGCGTAGTGCCAAGTGTTATGTGCGTAGTGCCAAGTGTTATGTGCGTAGTGTCAAGTGTTATGTGCATAGTGTCAAGTGTTATGTGCGTAGTGTCAAGTGTAATGTGTACGTAGTGTCAAGTGTAATGTACGTACTGTGAAGTGTAATGTACGTAGTGTGAAGTGTAATGTACGTAGTGTGAAGTGTAACGTACGCAGTGTAAAGTGTAACGTACGTAGTGTGAAGTGTAATGCATGTAGTGTCAAGTGTAATGTACGTAGTGTGAAGTGTAATGTACGTAGTGTGAAGTGTAATGTACGTAGTGTGAAGTGTAATGTACGTAGTGTCAAGTGTAATGTACGTAGTGTGAAGTGTAATGTACGTACTGTAAAGTGTAATGTACGTAGTGTCAAGTGTAACGTACGTAGTGTGAAATGTAGTGTACGTACTGTGAAGTGTAATGTACGTACTGTGAAGTGTAATGTACGTACTGTGAAGTGTAATGTACGTACTGTGAAGTGTAATGTACGTAGTATCAAGTGTAACGTACGTAGTGTGAAATGTAATGTACGTAGTGTGAAATGTAATGTACGTAGTGTCAAGTGTTATGTACGTAGTGTCAAGTGTAATGTACGTAGTGTCAAGTGTAATGTACGTAGTGTGAAATGTAATGTACGCAGTGTCAAGTGTTATGTGCGTTGTGTCAAGTGTTATGTGCGTAGTGTCAAGTGTTATGTACGTAGTGTCGAGTGTTATGTGTGTAGTGTCAAGTGTTAGGTGCGTAGTGTCAAGTGTTATGTGCGTAGTGCCAAGTGTTATGTACGTAGTGTCAAGTGTTATGTACGTAGTGTCAAGTGTTATGTTCATAGTGTCAAGTTTTATGTACGTAGTATAAAGTGTTATGTGCGTAGTGTCAAGTGTTATGAAACGTAGTGTAAAGTGTTATTTGATTTAGTGTCAAGTGTTATGTACGTAGTGTCAAGTTTTATGTGCGTAGTGTCAGTGTTTTTTACGTAGTGCCCAAGTGTTATATACGTAGTGTCAAGTGTAATGTACTTAGTGTCAAGTGAAAATGTACGTAGTGTGAAATGTAATGTACGTAGTGTCAAGTGTTATGTATGTAGTGTCAAGTGTTATGTGCGTAGTGTCAAGTGTTATGTGCGTAGTTTTCAAGTGTTATGTGCGTAGTGTCAAGTGTTATGTTGGTAGTGTCAAGTGTTATGTGGTAGGTCAAGTGTTATGTGCGTAGTGTCAAGTGTTATGTGCGTAGTGTCAAGTGTTATGTACGTAGTGTCAAGTGTTATGTACGTAGTGTCAAGTGTAATGTACGTTTTTTGAAGAGTTAAGTGTGTAGTGTCAAGTGTTATGTACGTAGTGTCAAGTGTTATGTACGTAGTGTCAAGTGTTATGTCCCGTAGTGTCAAGTGTTATGTGCGTAGTGTCAAGTGTTATGTGCGTAGTGTCAAGTGTTATGTGCGTAGTGTCAAGTGTTATGTGCGTAGTGTCAAGTGTTATGTACGTAGTGTCAAGTGTTATGTACGTAGTGTCAAGTGTAATGTACGTTTTTTGAAGAGTTAAGTGTGTAGTGTCAAGTGTTATGTACGTAGTGTCAAGTGTTATGTACGTAGTGTCAAGTGTAATGTACGTAGTGACAAGTGTAATGTACGTAGTGTGAAATGTAATGTACGTAGTGTCAAGTGTTATGTACGTAGTGTCAAGTGTAATGTACCTAGTGACAAGTGTAATGTACGTAGTGTGAAATGTAATGTACGTAGTGTCAAGTGTTATGTGCGTTGTGTCAAGTGTTATGTGCGTAGTGTCAAGTGTTATGTACGTAGTGTCGAGTGTTATGTGCGTAGTGTTAAGTGTTATGTGCGTAGTGTCAAGTGTTATGTTCGTAGTGTCAAGTGTTATGTACGTAGTGTCAAGTGTTATGTACGTAGTGTCAAGTGTTATGTACATAGTGTCAAGTGTTATGTACGTAG